TCAAGCTACATCCTTGAACCATCTTTCACAGAAAGGCTGTGACTCTCCAGTGATCCACAACCTGCACAATGTCCCATTTCCTTTCCACCCTCTGGGCTTGCTCCTTATCCTGTTCTGAGTGTTACAATAAAGACCAAATCCCCTCATTTCTGAATTTCAGCTGATGATGCTCACAGGGCATCACAAAGGTGAGGTGCTCTGAGAGCCAGAACTAGCAATTTTTTTTCTTTGAGTGTGTGTGTGGCTGGTAAGGCAAAAGAAACAGCTGTTTCTGTGGAGAACAAGGAAGATCTAGGTCTATTTGTAATCAATGCTGTCTGCATCTCTCTCAGGAAAAGTAAGGTCTGATGTCCTTTGGGAAGCATTTGCAAGGCCTTTTCTCAACAAACCTTCTCTCACCACAGACAGATGCCATCTGTCTTGCAGCTGGGAGCTAATGGATTCTGCACTGCCAATTTCACAGCAGTGAGCAACGCTGTGATAGAGGAGGCAAGAGGGATTTCCTACAATAAAACTATTTAAAACAGTGCAAAGGCACACACTGAAACAGCCATGAGGAGCAAAGGAGATGGCAGCACTGAGGGCTGATGGTCCAGGCTGGCTGGGATTTCACAGCTCAGTGTGCCTTGTGTGTCTCCAGCACCAGGATTTCAGACTTTGGGAGAGCTGTCTCACCCAATTCCTGAGCCAGGGCGGGCTGGGGCTCACAAACAGGCTGTTGAGCTGCAAAGTGTGCTATCAACTTTTTTCACATTAAATATTCAATGTCACAGGATAGCTTAAGATGTGCTAAACCCACCCATGAGTCCACCACAGGGTTTTGCAGCGTGTCAAGAGGAGCTCTCTGCTCTCTGAACATGCCCTGTGCTGCTGGAAACCCAACCCAACAACGGCACCTCTGCTGAGCAACAACACAAGAGTCTTCAGGTCTATTATATTCTGCCAACTTTCCAAGCCACTTCAAGACTTTCTGATTAAATTTACATAAAATGCATCCTTCCCTCTTACTCCCTGTTACACACATCAGGTTATTTCCAGTATTCTCGTGGCTGAGATCACCAGCGCTCGGATCCGGGAGCCCATGCTGTGCCTGCAGCACGCAATCAAGGCAGCTTGTGAGAGCACCAAGATCCTGCCTTGGTCATCCTCAGGGGATTTTCATGCTGGTATAATGAGAATGAACAAGTTGTTTATCATGAGAGATCTAACAGGAAAATGATACGTTTTTCAGTTTTATGCTTAATAAAGGCAAGCTGGAAAAATTAGGGTCCATGAAGTGCAAGATGGGAGGCTCCAAGAGCTCTGCAAAGGTCCTGGAGATGAACTGAAAGTCTGGAGCTCTCACAAAGGAGAACATAGTTGCAGTGGTTGACAGAGGAGCCCATTATCTAAGCATGTCAAAGATGACCAAAGGCCAGCTCTGCACAAGACTTGTTTTTTTAAATTAATTATTTTCATGTAGTCCATTGAGATGGACCAAGACTTGCCTTGAAAACTGAGTCAAGATTCCCATTAGAAGCGGCTGGAGACTGGCTTGTGGATCCAAAACTGAGATTCTTTTTGAAGTTCAAAAGAGGATGAAATACAAGATAAGCTAATAGATAATTAGATAATAGATAATTAAGAATTAGCTACGCGTGTAGCTAAAAAGGATGAGTCAGTGAGAAAATAGACAGAGCTCAGCAAGGGTGCAACTATTTAATAGATTATCTTAGCTGATCAGTGTGCCTGCATGAGTCATTTGCTTGGAGAAGGAGGGGGATTTCATATTGTTTTTGTATTTTTAATAGGCATTTTTATGGACTTCAGTTATAATAATGAGAGTACCTGACAATTAGTAATGAAATTAGCCTCACAACAGTGAAATATTTCACAGCATGCACAATATTATTCCTAGTACAAAGGTGGAAGTGAAGCAGAAGGAAATTAAACTCAAGATTTTCATAAATGTTTCCAAAATGAATAAGCATATATCAATAAATTTTGATAACTGTTTTCTCAGCTCAAAGACAAAAGCAGAGTTTACAAAACATTTTTATACACTAACAAATTTTTTTTAGCTTATAAATGTCAGATGTTAATTTAAACTCTTCAAAGAGTAAGTAAATCTTTTCAGCAGCCAAAATTAATTAGAAATTCCTATTATTATTTTTTCAGCTATTATTTTTCTGAAACACATTTCCTAGTTAGTGTGGTTGATGTATATGAGCAGACACAGATATTCCACAGAAAGAAAAAAACCCTGTAATTAACAGAAGGGGTTTTTTGGCAGGGATAATGTTCCTTTTTTCTTTTTTTCTCTAAAAACTTTTTCATTTAACGTATTTTATCAGAATGAAATGGTTTAATGAGCAGAGAATTACAGTTGATCCCAGCTGAACCAGACAGGGCTGCCTTTCGAGGTATGTGGCTCCCATCAAGCTGCATTCACCTTTGCTATGATTTAAACCTCATTCAGGCACAGCCTTGCTAAAAATACTGACAAGTAACTAATCAACTTCCATAAAATGGAATTTTTACCTTCACAATAGGAAGCAGGAGTAGGAGGGAACCTGAAAGATTTGCCTATGCATTTCAAATTAGTCTGACCTATAAAAACGCAAACAGCAAGTGGTTCTACGAAAATGTACTTCTGGTAGGGCTTTCTGGTTTTTTAGTGATGAGATTTTTCATGCCATCCCTCCCTCTCCTTGGAGGAAGCCAGAACCAAAGACAGCACTGTGGAGGGACTGGTTTTCATTAGTTATACCTACAAAAAGCAAACTCAGGCTGGTCCTTCCGGACCAAAAAAAGTTCAGCGTCCAAGAACCAGTGGTAGGTTTGAATGTTTTATATAAAACAGCAGAGAAAATGGTGACAGACCTGCTTCTGTACAAATGAGAGCTGAGCTGCAACTTCACATGTGCACTTCTGGTTCCAGTTTGTGAGCAGATGGACACAAAAATATTCAGTGCCCAGCAAGCAAAAGCATGGGAAATCAGATCAAAACTCTCACCTAGATCTAGGAGACAGCAAAATGCTCCAGGGCAATCTGAAGATTATGTGGATGGAAATAATCAGATAGTGCTGGTCTTTGAAGATGTTGATTTGTCCTATTCTGGATAATTAAAGAGCAAAGTCTAACGGAGGGAGCTGTAACTCCTGATAGGAATCACCCAAGCTTCACATTCAGGGCTGGCAAAAGGGCCAGATGCTGCAGAGGAGCAGAAACTCAACCCAAGCCTGAAACATCAGGGGTCTCACGCTTAATCAAGTTGCACTCTGTATGATCTTCCCTGTCATTATGATGCTTTCTGTATGTCAGGTGAAGAGGAAAACAGCCCTTTGTGAGCCAGTTTTTTTTTTTTTTTTTTATTTCCTACCCCATTTTCACCTCATTTTCAGTGCTTCCTCTAGCATCTGTATTCTAAAACTGCAATGGAATATATTGCTGAAAATCTGGGAGTTCTGTATTTCTGTAAGCCAGGTTATCTTTCCAAGGTTACCGGTAGTCTAAATGATGAATATAAATTCTTCAGTACCTATATAAAATTTATTATTTGTCATTTCCATTAATATTAGAATTTTGCATAGTCGAGTCCTTCTGTTTCATCTCCAGACTGTAGGGTAAAAAGTGCCACAGAAATTTCAGTCCTTATAAATCAACAAATTTGCCATGGTAAGCTGGTGCCAAGTTGTCCTCTTGCTGTTGAGTCAAAACTCAAAAGAAATCGGTAGGGAATGGAAGAGAGCACAAGACCATTTTGCAAGTACTCCCCTTTATTTTTCACAGGAATTCGGGATTTAATCTAAATTATTAATTGAGAAAGGCATTTTTGACACATCAGGTTACTTTTCTCTTCAGACATTTCTTCAGCTTAGTAAGCTGAAGAATTAATGGGTCACTCTGTACCCTGCACTGCTGACCACACAAAGACTCTCTGGCTTCCCTCCCTGGTTTTCCAGGACAGACATAAGAATATTTGCCACCTGGTACTTCTTAGTCCTTATTGTACTCTCTAATTACACAGAGAAACGACTTAAACAATCCAAGCTTATCCAATCCCTGGTTGAATTGGGAACATGCCCCTTCCTCCCAGACACAGAAACAGGTAATGATGCAACTCATGTGAATTCAGCCACTGCTCCAAAAGGACTAAATGAACTTCCTGAGAAGGGATGCCAGTGACACACCACTGCTACTTGAAATAACTTTTGAATTTTTATATTGTTGCCATTTTCTTCCAAGGGAAGAGCTAGCTGCAAATGTCTGCCAAGGAGTTTTACTTTTTTTTTTTTTTTTTTTACAGCTAATCACTTGACTGCTCCAAAAACCCAAAACCAGCACCCACAAGAGGAATAGCAACGCATGTTTGCATTTCGCTAACACTTATCAACAACAACAATAACAATAAGTCAACCAAATGTCTCTGTAAAACACTCCTCTTCCCTTCCTTTTCTTTTCCTGTCATCCCATAATCATCACAAAAAACCACATGGGTAAACTTGATCTCAGAGATTATCCTTGTGAAGAAAGAAAGTAGCAACACAGGGGAGGCTGGCGGATCCATCTGCAGCGGCGGCAGGCAGCCAACCTCCCCCTGGCCGCCGCGCATCTGCAGCGGGATGGGAGGGATGGCAAGGGAAGGGATGGCAAGGGAAGGGATGGCAAGGGAAGGATGCAGCACCCTTGTTGCTGGGTGCCACCCAGCCCAGCTTTTACACCTGCAGCAGCTTTTTGGATGAGAGCGTGGGCAAAGTGCCATGCTGGCAGCAGTGCCAGCGTCTCAGGAGGGACTGGCTGGAAGGAGGCGATTAGGCTGCCGTCAGCTGGGGAGGGAAACTGGGGCGAGGAGCTTTGGAGCAGCATGGAAAAGGCAACCAACTCCTGCAGGAGGGAGGGAGAGCAGAGAGCCTGTGCTTTGAGCCAGACCTCCCACACCTACTGCTTCAGCAGAGGAGCCATCACAAGATCACCATCACTATGAGCACTATGATCAGTATTTTGAGCTTGAACTCACCCGAACCAGCTGCTGCGGGAAGGGCCCGCGGGAGTTCTCGGGCACGTTGATGGGTGGGATGACCCAGTCCCGCTTCTGCCGCCGCAGCCCGTTGGCACTCTGGTGCTGCCGCCAGGGCAGCAGCGTGTCACTCTGCTGCTGCACCAGCTCCCCAGGCAGCGCCTTCCTTCCTCTGGGCTGTTTGGGGAACAAGAAAGCACAGCCAGTTAGCTTCTTCCTCGCTTCTGAGGACCAGTCCAACAGCCACACGGAGCAAAGACACGGCGTGTTAACCGGCAGCTCTGCTGCTGCTTCCTTTTCACAGAAACACAGAATCAGGGAATCAGCTAGGTTGGAAAAGACCTCGCGGATCATCAAGTCAAAGCTATGACCTAACACCACCTCATCAGCTAAACATTCACGAATAAATGGAACTGCCACTCCCAAGTCAAGATGCCTCCCAGAATGTATTGTCTTCATTACACCAGCTGCAAGGAGATGCAGCAGAGAACTGGAGTAAAGAAGTTGCTGAAAATTTCCCATAAGAGCAATATACTAGAACACAAAAAACGGGAGAGGATTCCTTTACAGTCCATGTCATGGGTGCATCATTATAGTCTGGTATTAAGCATGAGCAGGGCTACAAAAACCTGCAGTCTGTGGCTCTGTAAAGGTATTCTGCCACACAAACCCAACCCCAGCCAGGGGGAGTCAGCCCCTTGGCTGCAAAGGTGCATTAGTTCAGATTTTTAGTGCTTCATAACAAATGATCTTTATATGAGAGCTGGGTTTTGAACACAAATCGCAAAATACACACCCCATGCTGCCTGGGAAGTGCAATACATCTCAGGCACAATAAATTTTCATTATTTGGTGTGACTTTGAGTCCGTCTTTGAGATTTTTTCTTTAACTATGGATTGTCTGAATGGAATACTTTGGTGTTGGAAATGTTACAGTGCTATGAATAAAATGGAAATGGTGGGACCATGGTTTTGACTTAGAGAGACTGGCTCACAATCAGAAAATTTATGCCTTATAGAATAGATGAATCAATGAAATGTAGATTTGGGGAGGCTCTTCAGAGGTTATGCAGTCCCAATACTTCAATACTCTGTGGTCTTCTAGGATTCCAGCAATTACTTCTGAAAGTCTGCAGAAAAGATAACTAGCAAGGGCTTTTGTTACCATATGGTGACCCGCACTCCCACCAGAAAATGTTTAAACTTTCATAAATCCCAAAGACTGCAAGTCACATTCTTTTCATTTGAGGTAAGATCCAGTGGGAATACTGTTCTCAGAATGTTACAATTTTCAGCTATTTTCCTCCAAAAAAAAACCCCAAAAAACCCCAAACCCAATGCCCCAACACACAAGAGCAATGCAGGAAAAACTATCAAAGCATTTTCTGAGGCTCCTGCCATTTTAAGCCACATTAACTTTTTGTCTTACTCCAAACATAAAAACCCAAAGACCCTCCAAGCAGTTATCTGTAGGCACTGATTTCAGTGGGAATCATTGCTTCAGGCCTTCTAGCTTGATGACAATCCATCTATTAGCACTTTTCAATTCCTGATCGGGAAGTAAAAAAACAGGCAGTCACCTCCAGACTACACAGTCTATGAAAACTAAACAGTAAATGAAAGTTAAACTGAGATGTGGCTCCAGAGCTGTGTGGACCTTCTCCAGGAAGGCTGGAGATACTGAGAGCTGGGCAGAGCAGCAAGGGGCCCATTCTCACAGTTTGGTCATGGCTCTGATCTCTGCTACCTCTGGAGGGCAGACATCCACTGGCTGCAAGGATTGGAAGCATTTGTGCCAAAATGCTGCTATTTTTACTGCAAAACTTAAAAACAAGCCTGTTCCAGAGCTGAATTTTCACAGAACAGACAAATATGGTCCTTTCAGTCACACACAGAGGCACATTCCTCAGGTCCTGTCTCACACTCACGATGTGGGTTGTGTTCACCTCAGTGCTGTTTCCACACCTTCAAAAAAATCACAGCACCATGTTCAATATTTAGATGCTGCTCTCAGAATGCTTACTGAAGTAGGCAATAAACAAAGAAACAGCATCATGGTGTGGTAGTGGGAGACTTTCTTGGGTTAGTCAGGATACTGGTAGGCACTGCTGACCCCCTCTTTCCCATGGGATGTATGCTATATCCAAGAGAGATTTAATTTAAAAACGATTTTATTGACAGAAAGGTATCTTTTCTGAACACTGATGAAATCAATCTTATCTAAAGAAGACACCCAGAAATGCATGACAACATGAAATAGGACTATGAGACATGAGCCACAGAATAGTGGATATCCCTTATTTTTTTTAATTGGCTTGTGATTCCCAAATGAGAATCCTTTGAGAGCAGGTATTTGGATCAGTTTATATAATTGGCAAGTGAGCATGGGGACAGATTATGAAAGGATGGTCAAATAATTTGTGCTCTTCTGAGTTTACACAGTGGAATGAGTCTGAACTAAAGACAGACTTGAGAATTAACACGAGTCCCAAAGCTCCGTGTATACTGAAATAATTAGTGTCAGCTCAGCAAGGCAATACCAGCCTTTTTAGTCTGTATGAAATACTTGCTGGCAGGTGACTAGACAGTGACTAGCTTGCTTGTCACTCTTGATGATGTTTTCCTCTATTAGAATAAATCATCAACATGACTCTGAATTTGATATGTAGAATTTCAAAAGCATCTTGCAACAAGAAATTTTTTTCTTTTTTTAAACAACAGCTCTTTTTTATCTTCATTTGTTGACAATGCATTCTCTTGACCTTAATTTCTCTGGTGTTGTTTAAATATGTTGTACATGTTTTCTGCTGCTTAAAAGCTGTGAGACAAATGCAGTAACAAAGTCTGGTGAGTATAAATGCCAGAACTATTCAAATCTCTGACTGAAACATCCAGAACATATCTGGAATAACAGCATTGTTGTATTGTGAGCCCCAGAAAACTCTCCAGTGTTTTTGAGTTTGTAAGAATCTAAAGTTCAAGTCAAAAGCAGAATATGACACCAAATTCAATGGATTCTAAAATACAGATTCCAATTCTAGTTTTGCTGAGGAACAGTTTTTACTGAGATGACAACTGCTCGTTTTCTCATGGCCTCACTGGCCACATGCTTAACAGAATCTCAGAAACATTTTCAAAAGATAAAATATTCATCTACCTTTTGTAGTGCCACCAGAACACAAACTGTCCATAGTCCTTCACAAAATCAAGTCAAGCACCTCTAGTGCTGCTGCTTTGGGGTGGTTTCCCTCCCTTTGTTTTTGTGACTCTCTTCTGCATGTCACAAAAATGATGGCATCCAGCACCAGGCAATCCATGAAACACGTGCCCAGGGGAAAGTGAAATCCACTCTCCATTCCAAAAATTGCACGGTGACATTTATAACTCGTTACAACAGGATCAAACTCTAAACATGGATCGTGTAAGCACGGGCTTTGGTAATACAAAGATAATTACAGGAGGATATAAAATAGTCAGATAATTCAGTAATTATGCCTGTCTATCACTTTAGGATACTGATAAGCTAGAGAAATACAGCTGAGCCAAAACAGATGAAAACCTTCAAGATCAAGGGGAAAAAGTAATTACAAAGTGTGGGATGAAGAGAAACAACAGGAGAGGAGCCCATGCTGGGATGTAAACTGCTTAGGAGAGTTGGGATTCAGTAGGATCTAATGCCTTAGGATTTGTACTGGGGCAGAGGCTTCCAGAGATTGCTGGTGAAGCTGAGCAGCCCTGTGCCGGCTGTACCATTAAAAGCAAGAGCGTGAGTGGGTGTACACGAGTGTGAGCAGGTGTGCATGAGAGTGCACGAGTGTGAGCGGGTGTGCCCGAGTGTGAGCGGGTGTGCACGAGTGTGAGCAGGTGTGCATGAGTGTGACTGGGTGTGCCCGAGTGTGCCCGAGTGTGCGCGGGTGTGCCCGAGTGTGACTGGGTGTGCATGAGTGTGAGCGGGTGTGCATGAGTGTGCATGAGTGTGAGCGGGTGTGCCCGAGTGTGACTGGGTGTGCCCGAGTGTGCGCGGGTGTGCCCGAGTGTGACTGGGTGTGCCCGAGTGTGACTGGGTGTGCATGAGTGTGAGCGGGTGTGCGTGAGTGTGAGCGGGTGTGCCCGAGTGTGAGTGGGTGTGCCCGAGTGTGACTGGGTGTGCACGAGTGTGAGCGGGTGTGCACGAGTGTGAGCGGGTGTGCGTGAGTGTGAGCGGGTGTGCATGAGTGTGCCCGAGTGTGAGCGGGTGTGCGTGAGTGTGCATGAGTGTGTGCGGGTGTGCATGAGTGTGCCCGAGTGTGACTGGGTGTGCATGAGTGTGAGCGGGCGTGCCCGGGTGTGCATGAGTGTGAGCGGGCGTGCCCGAGTGTGCCCGGGTGTGCCTGGGTGTGCATGAGTGTGAGCGGGTGTGCGTGAGTGTGAGCGGGTGTGCATGAGTGTGCCCGAGTGTGAGCAGGTGTGCGTGAGTGTGCCCGAGTGTGACTGGGTGTGCATGAGTGTGAGCGGGTGTGCATGAGTGTGCGCGGGTGTGCCCGAGTGCGCCCGGGTGTGTCCGAGTGTGCATGAGTGTGCCCGGGTGTGCCTGGATGTGTCTGAGTGTGCCCGAGTGTGCTCCGGTGTGCCTGAGCGTGCCCGAGTGTGTCTGGGTGTGCCTGAGTGTGTCCAGGTGTGCCCGGGTGTGTCTGAGTGTGTCCAAGTGTGCCCGGGTGTGCCTGAGCGTGCCCGAGTGTGTCTGGGTGTGCCTGAGTGTGTCCAGGTGTGCCCGGGTGTGTCTGAGTGTGTCCAAGTGTGCCCGGGTGTGCCTGAGTGTGCCCAGGTGTGCCTGAGTGTGCCTGGGTGTGCATGAGTGTGAGTGGGCGTGCCCGGGTGTGCATGAGTGTGAGCGGGTGTGCCCGAGTGTGACTGGGTGTGCATGAGTGTGAGCGGGTGTGCCCGAGTGTGCATGAGTGTGCGTGAGTGTGAGCAGGTGTGCATGAGTGTGTCCAGGTGTGCCCGGGTGTGCATGAGTGTGCATGAGTGTGCCCGGGTGTGCATGAGTGTGCGTGAGTGTGAGCGGGTGTGCACGAGTGTGACTGGGTGTGCATGAGTGTGAGCGGGTGTGCCCGAGTGTGAGTGGGCGTGCATGAGTGTGCACGAGTGTGCATGAGTGTGAGCGGGTGTGCCCGGGTGTGCCCGAGTGTGCATGAGTG